TTTTTTTTTGTGTTACTCTAAGAAAATTGGCTCAAATTTATTTTGCATATCTATAATTTGAATGGCTTAAAAACATAAATTAGCCATGTCAATGATTTTAACAAGATAACCATCGGTTTTAGGCATCAAGCACCAGCCGAAACAACTAGCAATCGCCACAACAAAGAAAGGGTGCACTCCTTTTCCCCTAAATTATTTTTTTTTTTTTTTTATATGTTGCACGCTCATTTAAAGACAATCATTTCTGTCGAAGTTGACACGCGCCGGACACACGTTCCCATGGCTAAACGCTACAAACAATTGCCGCAGGCGAGAAAAACCGCTGATATAACCAACACCGTCGCCGCCGACACGCTGAATCAAAAGGATGGACCATACCGACTATGTAACACACATAAATTCATACGTGCATATGTAAGTATGCATATACAGTACCGGCCACATAAATGGCGCTACACTTCGATCCTCAGTACTGAAAGATTTCCGTTTTTGATTTTTTCCGAGAGTATTGCAAATTGTCTGCCATATAAAAAATAGGAGAACATACCGAGCTCTAACCGCCCGAAATAACGTAAGCGACATTTTTTTCCTAGAGCATCTAAATGCATTTCTGATAAGAAAAAAAATAAAAATAAAAATGTCGCTTACGTTGTTTTGGCGGTTAGGGCTCGATACTTTGTTTGGAAGAAAATGCGTAGCGCCTTCAACAAAAAAAAAAAAAAACGAAAGCCAAGCAGATTTTTTTTATTTCAAATTTTTGTGTTTTGCTCTCTAAGTATTGACCTATTAACAAATCATATTCAACAATTTTATTGAGCTTGAGGTCGTTTTTTTATTTGAAATTTTGATGCAGATTTTTAGAATAGTTATAAAGTTTTAAAATCATATTTTGTTATAGAATATACTATATTTGTTATAAAATATTAATGAATATTAAATAAACAAAAGGAAAACTATAAAAATTGAGGATGAAAACGTGGCACCACTCAAGTGACCGGCACTGTAAAAGCGATTGTGGCGTTGAGGGTGCAAGAAGACTACGGAAGTGCAAACCTTTTCATTAACGGTAATTTCTATTGCCGCTGACTGTCGTAGCGCAACTGCATAGCTGAGCGCCGAGTTGAAACGCTTCTGATGCGAATGACGTGCAAACTATGTATCTACACGGTTGTGTTACTTTTGAGTGTGGCAGGCGTTAGGGGTTGTTCGAAGGGCGTGGCGGTGTTGCGCTTGCGCCGCTGTCATCCTCCACAACGCTGCCGCCTGTCAAATTGACAATCTTAAGTGCAATCTTGTTACAAAGCAATGTAAACACGATTGTTAATTTAACTTTCCGCAACAACAATAATAATAATAACAACAACAACAACCACTATAACATATGCACATACATACGTAGCGATAAGCTTAGGCGCTTCAAGCCTCTGCGATGCTTCCCAGGGGTGCAATGAATGCAAGGCCACAATTAAATTATCGCATTTCACAAATAAACGTATGCTTCCGAGGCGATTTCCTCTTCCTAAATAGATATACTCGCGTGCATGAGTATGGTTGTATGTACATATGTATGTGTATGTGTGTATTTGAAAACTCTCTGCAAAAATCAGTATTAATTTGTTTGTATATTTGTGGTTGTTTTGGTGCCTGTCGTCGTCACCTTTGATTTGATTGTTTGCTTTGCTGGTTGTACTGTAAACTGCTTGCACTAGCCGTTGTTGTTTTCCAATGTTTTAATGCCTATGGCTTATAGCTCAATTGTGCGTTTGGTGTGTGGGAAATAAAAATATTGTAATTCATTTGCATTATAAGTCGATCTGATCCGCCTTGAAATGAATGTGGAAGAGGATTTTTTTATTGCTGACCTCAATCGCGTAAGTGGATGGATTTTCGAAACAATCTCTTAATTAGCATACATTTTGTGTATTTTTTTTTATAAATAATCAAACCCGAATACAAGAAATCTTCAATGTTGGATTAATGGCGGCTTATTGGCTTATTGCCTACTTTTAATCGTCTTGGCTGATTCCTGTAAGAACTGGGATAGAAATCTAGTAGCAGGCGTCGGGAGTACACTGGGGGTTGTTATTGTTGTTGTACCGGCTTTCTTAACCCTGACTAAATCGTATAGTACTTCAATCTTTGCCGTCAAGCTCAACTAAAGGTAGGTTCAGAAAACGCGTTGTTGGTCGAATTCTGACCAAGGAGAGAGAGAGAGGTGTAGGGTGCATCAAGAAGAAACATATATCCCTTTAAATTTTAGTTTAATAATGTGCAAATTTCAAATGTCTAAAAATTCGCGTTGCGTTTTGAGAACTTTTTTGCTATAAGAAAAAAAATCTGAAAATTTTGTATATGGAAAAAAAAATCTCTAAAATAAACGCGATTATTTAGAGTTTGACTATTCGTTCTTATTCCCCATTGTTAGTCAATAAATTAGTTAATTTTTGGGTGTAACAGAACAAGAGACACTGCGACCTGAAAAATCTTTTGTATCTCGCTTGCTTGACGATGCTGCGGTGAAAAATTCCTTACAGTGGGCACTTTTGGATGGGGAACGAAAGCCAGGATGTTCACAAAGACATTGACTAACCACAAATCTGTACACACATCCTCTGCTTATTCACCAACATCCCTTCAGTGCCGCGCTATCCAACTTATAAAAGTGGCCACCACTTCACACTTAATCTCCGAACGTATGCTTGGCCACAAGTTCATAAACAAGCAAAATGGATTTATTTTCAAATGTTTGCTAACTCGTAGAGATTTTGCGTGAGAGAGAAAAGTGTAAGCGTGGCAAATTGAATTGTTTGTTTTGATGTCAAAATTGGTGTAGTAAAGAGTAAATAGAACTATGTACATAGTATTGATATGAGAAAGGTAGCGTGTGCGTAGGTACGAACTTATGCAATCATATACATACATACATATGCATAGTACGCAAATATTTACAATCTAAGAAATTATTCCTCAACCGCTCAACTAAAATAAAAATCATACTCAATATGTAACATATGTATGTATCACCTACATATGTATAACTTTTACCAGTAAAGTCCTAATTTTCGGCTTGTTTACTTTTCCCACTACTTTATGCAATATATTCTTATTTGTATTGACTTCAACTGAAAAGACATTATTTTTGTTTTTAAAGTGCATCTCTACCGCAAATCATTCCCGCATCTAAATAAGTGTGCAAAAAAGTAGTACACAAAATCTCTAAAAATAAGAAAACAAGTCTATTATGTAAGCGACATATCCATTGGCAGAAAACACGCTTAAGGATTAAATATTAAGTGGTGGCCCAACGTACATACCAATACGAAGATATGCACTTACATATCTGTGATTTAATAGAGGGTGGTAAAAGTAGATAAAAAATAAGTTGCTGTTAATCGATAAGTTGCAGATAATGATTAACTGTAGTAATGAATGTTGTTGTCATATCTGGAGGCTTGCTATACTAAATACGAATATGTAAGAATATCAATCAGACATAATTTTTAAAGATTTGTTTCTTAATATGAACGATATGTATACTTATTTTTGTATTCTTCCATAGACGATTTTACCACATTTTTCAAAATCCATTGCATTTGAGAGCACTTTTAAAATGTTGCAAACAAGTCCCTTTTAGATTTCAGAGGTACTATATAGAGTAGGCTGCAGTGGCTGCCCGTGGACACACCATTGGGTCAGTTGTGGTACCACAAGGAATCTTATTAACGTCCTCCCCGCCCCCACCTATACAAACCAGAATGTGCAGTTGGCAATCGCCTTATCTTTATGCCCGCTATATATCTTATTCTGTTCCTTCTTACTGATTCAGGCTCATGCTCATCTCTGCACCCCCTGCAGTCGTCGTTGAACGGCGTCGTCTCTCCACGTGTCTACCTAAAGTAATGTGACCGGTCACCCGACCCGTAGCCAAAGATATTTCCAACTTTCGCTTTCTTTGGAGTAGAAAAATACCTGCATAGGTAATTAGCTTGCAAACAGCGAGCGGCATATCCAACCGCTTCCAAGAAGTTCACTTCCTTGCAAACTTATCTGCCATCTAATTACCTGATATACTTCTGTTAACCGGCATCCATACCAGGTGAAAAAAGAACTTCTCTGCGAAATGAATTTGGAACTCCCAGTTATTCAGAGTACCCCCCCCCCCCCCCCCCCCCCCCCCCCCCCCCCTCTTCCACGTTGTTATCCAATTCGGATCCTTCAACCATACTTGATCTAATCGGTAACTGCCCAAATTTTGTACACATATCAAGTGCTTCAACAAGGCTTCGTTAGACACTCTCTATGTATTAACCTATTCGATCTACTTTTGTAGATTTTATTAAAAACGTATTATACAATTAAAATTTAAATTACATAAAATTATGTTCGAATAAGATCACCAAATATTAAGATTACTTCACCGCTTTCAGTCACTACTCTTTCGGTTTCTTGCCAAACGTATTACCATCTTCAATAGTCTCTGGCAAAGGGTAACCCTTCGTTTCAGGCATAAGCCAAACCGAAGCAGCAGCCAAGAGTGCGAATATTCCAAAAACGGCAGGGGGCAACCCAATATCATATAACTTCAACCCCTCTATCCATGGAGCTAAAATCGAACCAACACGTCCCACAAACGAACACAAACCCACACCTGTGGGACGAACAACAGTCGGAAAGAGCTCGCCGGCATACAAATAGACATTCGGAAATGTGACCGATGCGCCAAAGAGACCAATTGTCGCCAAAAACACCCGAACTGCGCCGCCAAAGTGTGGACCAAATGCCAAGAGCGTCAATGAGATGCCACTTACAAGATTGGATATAAAGAGAGTAAGACGGCGTCCCATATATTTG